CTTGTTGTATTCAATTTTGGTACATGTTCATGCTGAATTTCTTCTTTTTAAATCTTCCTTGAAAATAGTTCCTCACTAGTGGTCTAAGCGATGAAATAATCAAACATTTTTGTATCGTGCAAACCTTACAGTAGTTTTTCTTACTCTCAACTCGATGTCAAATGTTTATTGACTGAGAAGCGGCCTGGCATAATAACTGATACATATTATCATGTTTGTGTAATAGGATCAGTTTTTACAGCCATAGTTTCTGATTTGGGATTTGGACCCGATATAAAACTCTCATTAGCTTATGCTTCTGGACTAAGCGGTGAAAAAATTTGCAGAATGCAGCGGGTTGGATAATGCGTTGATGGTTCGGACAATTCACGAGCAGTGTTCATTCGTGCTGGCGAATTGCGAAGCGTTCAGCGGTAATGCAGTTTCCTTCGATGGTGCGAAGATTCGTTTTGCAAAAATCGTTTTGCTGCTACCAACACTGTCGTTAATACCTGTCGATGCTGTTATTCGCTCGTTCTTTGCCTCTGATCCCGCCGAACAAATCAAGCAAGCATATCAAATCAATGCTTCGTGATAATTTCACATTTACTGCTTCAAACAGAAAATTTCTGGAAACTATTGATAATAGCGAAGAATTATTGTTGAGATCAGTGTGCTTAAATGTTCGAAATGTTGTTGTATCACTTTACTTTAACTTTACTTTGACTTCTCATGTCTTATTTGTGCATGCCAGGGCAGCACATCAGCAGATGCATAATTCTATCCTCTACGAGAATCATATATGATCCACTCTTCAATCTATCGATTCTCGATAGAAATTTACCGCAACATTCATAGTGTTGTCCTATTCGAGGGAACATCTGAAGGTGATAGATAATTCGGGTGATCAACGACCACTGAAGAGATGAATTTCAACGTATATCTCATGGAAACTAACGTCGTAGTTCGGAAGAATTATGAGAGCAACATTTTATTCATTGATACTTCAGCTAAATTAATCCCGAGCCTATTATTGATAATAATTATATCCGTCGCGTTTGTGATGCGATCTCATTCGACCACTAATTAGTGACTTGCTGAATGTAGAGCGTTATTACTGGTCAGTGTTAGTGTCTCAATAGTAAATTAAATTTGATGATCACGCATGCAACGTTCATCAGAATGCTTTTCTGGTTCTTCTATTCTTCCCTCATTTAACCGTCTCCTTTCCTATCGTGGTGATCAATCACAACATTTGTGAGGTTTATCCGCTGAAAAACATTCTAATCAAAGCGCAAAAATTTAATCTAACTTCATATTCTCACATTTTGAATGCGAATTTTGGCTCCGATTGGTCTTTCGATTGTTGTTTTATGTAGTTGTGATGCTTACCTGGAATAGC